AGTCAACATTGTATGATATAAAATCTTCCAATGAAAATATTCTCTAGCATTCACGCTGTCACAATGAACAAGGAAATAAAAAAACATGATTGTGATGAAACCTGGACTGAAATTGAAAAAGCTATTGAAAAGGTTGTCAGTTTTATGGAAAGAAAGCCAGTATTCAGATATGATGATTGCAATAACGCAAGCAGAGTTAGAAAGTGTCTTTCATTTAAAAAATTTCAAGAACAGAAGCAAAACGAAATACGGAAAAAGTTGACAATGGCATTGGAAGAGAAAGAATCAGCATACAACAGCGATTAAAAAATCCTCGTTGAATTATTTGTTTTGCATACGTGGCATACTTAATGAATTTTCATTAACATTACATAATTTATTTCTTTTTCCTTAAAATCGATTCCGTTATATTTCACTCACCATTAGCTCATTTTGTTTACTATAAAATATTGAAAATAAATGTTAGACCTGATTTCAGTTCTTTTATTTTTAAGCTAAATATAACCCCTCATATCCGGACTTTGTACCCAATTCCTCATATCCGGTTGTCAGGGATTCTACTGTAATTAAATTCTTCGAACTTAGTTTTATTTGAAAGATAACAGCTAACGCTAAATCCGAATTAAAAGAAAAATTAACTTCTGTATATAAATAATTTTTATTTTTGCATTTTCTCATCGCTCATCAAACCACAATTATAGACGAAAAATGTAAACAACAAATTTAAAAATCTCTTTTTGTCCTAGAGGTGATACATTTGGTTTGAATTTATTTAATTCATTCTTTTTATTTTCTGACTCGTTTGAAGTTTTAGTAATCCTCATTTCAATTTCAAACATTTTCTTGAATTTCATTGCTTGTTAAATAAAAAAATAAGCTTCGAGAAATTTCCATAACAAAACAGTCAAAATTTTGCAAAAATAGGCTCAACGGACGTAAACAAATCTTTTTCAAATTCATCCCTAAAAAAAAAAAAAAAAAAAAAAAATTCGCCCACGCATTTCTCAGAAAAATTCGCAACAGCTACCAAGCCCCGTTGGAGCCGATTTCGTTGTTATAAAAAAAGACTATAGTAAACGAATTTTCGTCGCATTTGAGATTCACACACGCAAAAGATACACACGGGAATTGTGTGCCTTCAAAGAAACAAACTTCCTTTATAAAAGATTAGAAAAATTTACATGAAAAACTTTTTCACTCAATATTTTTCATAGAAAAATCTTTTGTCTAAGTTAAATTCAACCTTTTTAATCAAAGGCAGACAACTTTTAAACATTGAACCCAATGAGGTTTTTTTATAATTATTCTGAAATTAAGTTATTGAATTCTAGATATTATTATTCCGATAGAGAAGAGTAATTAGTCAAAGTCAGAAATATTTTCTTTTTGAACATCTATACCAAAAATAATCTAACAGTCGCTAAAATAAAATAAAAAAACATTGTCAAAAGATTCAAAGTCAAAACTGGCATCTAAACTTGACATTTTTCCATTCTTCAAACATGTCTTCATTTAATTTAAAAAAACTTGTTACGAACAACAACGGGATGAATTTCAAAATCCAACTGAAATTTTAAATGTAATTAAAAATATTAATTGTATTTTTTATTTAATCTGAAGGAAATTAGTGTTTTATTACGTACTTCCAATAATTCGGTATATGTAAGGTTTATGATTTTTTTTTTAAATGAAAAGCTTTCTTGAAGATATTCTTTAATTGAAAGCTAAATGATTTAAAATTGAGTATTGCCACTAAGTAAAATATTCTGTGGTGTATTTCAAAAAGAAATTATATTGATCGGAATCGATTTTTTTCAGTAAAATCGATCAAAACGGCCATTTTTGACACATTTGTAAACAAAAGTTACTTCTCAATTTTAAAAGTCTTGCAAAAATAAAATATATATTTCTGAAACGTTATTTGAGAAAAAATAGCAAATTTAAAATTAAATTAATCTGATTTGAAACAAATATAGCATAAAAATGTTGTACACAAACATTTCTTAACTACGGGGTCTTGTTTTTCTGATGTGTTAATCGATTTATTGACAGCTGAACGTGTCCATAGTTAAGTATGGTGGAGTAGACGATAAAGTTTGAGGGTTTTTTTTTCGCCAAAAATTTCATTAAAATCCAACAATTATTTGATTTTTACAAAAATTTCCAAATTAATGTGTCCGTCACTGCAAAAAAAAAAAAAAGCGGCGACAATTTGCTATGCTAAAACTACAACCGCTGACACAAGAAAAACAAGTTTTAAATCAAAATTTCGAATGCTCTAAAAAATAATAAAAAAAATTAATTAAATATTAAAAAAATAGCTTGATCCTTCCTCTTAATATAACAAAGCTTTTTCGACGATATTTTCCCATGGCCATATAATTTTTTTATCCTTCTCCCACCCCTTAGCGAGAGAGTCTCTTGATTTTGTCCCACGGGCAGAATACAGCGGCCTCTCTGTTTTGAGGGTTGGACGGGTCCTACTAACATCAGTTATGTTTAGTTGCTTTTGTGTATCGTTTTAGTTGATTATTGGGTTCATCTCCCTCGCCTTTCATTTTATTCATCCATAAATTTTTAATTGTACATATATAATCATTATATTTTTATGGTTTGAGGAGCGTTTTGTAGGTCCCCCTTGAGAGGATGCGGTATTATGGTGTATGGAGGACTGATTGGTGATGGATGGGTTTTTGTGGTGAATGGGCAAATTGTAACGAGTAAATGGGTTGTGAATCGGATTAGCTAGGTATAGGATAGTTAGTTAACACCAGCCTCAGCCTCAACCCCTCCCCTTTTTTCGGCCTTGTGCCGTAATTGTATTCTGTACAATAAATATCGTTTTTTTTTTAACTAAGTTGCGAGAGATGCCAACAAACTCCACGCGCGCCAACACACTGACTCAATAACCACCACTCTCTCTCAACAATTCAACACAACCCACACAGCTATTGCCGCGTGAAGATACTTAAATTACAATTGACTAAAAAAGTGACATTACCACTATGACATAGTAATTGTACATTTAATCAACCTCAGCATACCAGTCAGTAACGAAGTCTTTGAGAGATGCCAACAAACTTCACGCGCGCCAGCACACTGACTCAACAACCGCCACTCTCTCTCTCAGCACACATACACACTAATATTTGAACCCACACAAGTGACATTTCACCTTGCAGAAGGCAAACTGTTTTAATTTCATAGACAAACCTTAACTACAAGTTTTCATACACCAAATCACTGCATGATTTCTCCTAACAATTTTATCTCACATCACATTGAACAAGCAATCTTAAAATTCACTTGTGTATATCAAACGTATATAAATGCATGTTATTTGTTGAAATCTATAACTACGTTGTTTCTCCTTGATTTCTTCCAATTGAATTGCCTTTTGAATGTTTGCTTATTTTATTTGTTGTAGTTGAATGTTTAACGAGCACGCACATTTAACTTAAGCCTTCACACAATTACACCTTCTGATACCTCCAATTAGCTCAAATTCCGCAACAAAAGTGCTCAGCTTTGGAAATAAAACACGACCTTTTAAACTTTAAAAGTCATGCTCAGAGATATTGTAGCTCGACTGTATGTCACATTCAGACGTAAAAATGTCACTCTAAGGAAGCAGAGCAGTGTTTTCTACATCTCCCTCTCTCTCTTCTTATATATGTTTGTGTCGTGTGCGAGCGCGTGTGTGTGTATGCGTGTGTTATGCAATATTATCATTTTATTATTGTTTAAAAAAATTACGTCTGCATGAACTTAAAGACCTATTTTTTACCAAGATTTTCTAAAAAAATTTCAAAAATAATTTCATTCATTTTTAAATTTACTTCTTAATCCCCGCGCTAAATATCTATTAAAATTTCCCCAAATCGTCATATTTCAGTGTAAATGTACATATTGAACTCGAAATAACAATTAAATTATGATAAAAATAAAACCTATCGTTTTTTTTGGAGTTATTGACAAGAAAAATTCAGACTCAGTCGCGATCATTAATTTAATTCTTAATTCGGGTTCAGCATGTACATTTACACGGAAATATGACGATTTGGGAAAAATTTTATAGATATTTAGCACGGGGATTAAAAAGCAAATTTACCATGAATATGTCCTGAAAGTTTCATTTAAAATCCAACAATTATTTGATTTTTGCAAGAATTTCCAAGTCAGTGTGTTTTTCACCGGAAAAAGCAGAAAAAAACAACCAATCACGTCGACCGCTAGCGTAAACAAAACAAGATTTTGAACCAAAATTTCGTACGTGCTAGAAAAGATTAAGAAATTTAAAAAAATAATAAAAAATACTTTGGTCTTTCATCTTAATAACATTTTGATGACAAAACTTTGTTTTTATTGAGTTTTTTTAAATCTTGCTATGCAAGCTATGCTGTTTTTTTTCCGCGAAAAAGTAGAGGTACATAACTTTTTTTAAAAACTATCGGTTTTATTTACTCACTATAAGTAGAATTTAAAATTATAGCTGTCATATTTAATAATATTTTTAATATTCAGCTTATCTTATTAAAAAGATAAATTAAAATAATTTTTATTAAAAAAATAATAAACATTTTATCAACCTCATTCGAGTTGCTGAGCATTACTTAGCAACATTTGTTTTTCATAGAAACAACATGGCGGATGATGAGGTATGTAAACAACATGACTGCGAAGTGCTTGTATAAAGTTTTACATTCAGTCGTTGATTTTTCAAAACTTAAAATTGAACTTGCAACAATATATATTGAACAAAAAGAAGTCAAGTTAAAATGACTTGGGATATTTACTATTATTTTCTCAGAACATTTTTTAATGCCGGAATAATACCCCTAAACTTTCAAAAACTTGGTTTTATTACTTTAGAAATCACTCCGACTGGTCAGTGTAATAATGGGAGGCGATTTAAATGGTCCAAAATAAATATTCCAACATTCTGTCAAACTCTAGCAGCTAGAGTCTAGCTTTATTTCAGTTTTATCTTCTGGGGTCAAATGAATGAGGTAGGTAATAAATATGTTTTAAAAAAATATAAAAAAAACAGTAATTTAAATTATAATTATTATTTTTTTTTTTTAGCTTCTGGCTTTTAAGGTGGGAACATTAACAAACGGGCATTTTGCGTGAAAATTTTGTATATTTCGAAAATTTCAGTCAACTTTAGTTTCTGAGTGATAGTGGTCCCAAGAGATTCCACACTGAAAGTGAAATGGTTTGTCATCAGAGCAACCTCCTCTTAAAGTAGGTACCGCCAAAATTTCCCTAAAAAAGTGTATGATGAAAAAATACCTCAAATAAAATTTTATCATCAAAAGCTTTGTATTAAGAGGACAGATCCATAAAGGATTTTTTAATCCTTTTTAAAACCTTGGAAATTTTGTTTAACAATCTTGTTTTCCTAGCATCAACGCGGGACTATAAATTTGTACAGGAAATTTGATGCGCTTTCTTTTGCAATGAAAAGCATATTGATTTGGGAAAAAATCTTGCAAAAATCAGATAATTATCGAATGAAACTTTCAGGATTTATTTTTGACACGTTTCTTTTTTAGAAAATCTTTGTACAAATATTTTTTTTTACTACATCTGTTCCCCATCCCAGAGAAAGATTCTTTGAACTTTTTGTTTTGCTTTTTAAATGTTTAACAAGTCCTCGGCGAATTTAAATGATAAAAATTTTCATTAAACAGGGCCCCGCAGTTACCATACAGAAAATCCGTTCTGAATTGTAAAATAAAATCTGCCATATTATAAAACTAAGAAACTATTTGATTAGAAAAACTTTTGATTGCTTTTATCAAAATAACAGTTAAACACTAGCAGAAAAAAATCAATGAATAATAAATTTTTACAATAATTGTTTTGATTTTCTTAAATTTTAATAAGAATAATTTATAAACATAAATCATTTAAAATTCTGTATTAATTTGTTGCTGCCAAGTAATATTAAATTAAAACTATTTTTACCAATCATAAATAGAAAAGCACAACAATTCAACAAATCCCAATTTTTTTTAAAAAAATTTTGAATTTTTTAAAGTGTCGATCTTTAAATACAGACATCCATACATGACACTATCACTATCAGAAAGTAAGTGGGGTACCTATCGTAAATTTAAAATTTAGTGGTAATTTTTAAAACATTTTCTTTTCGTAAGGAAGGCTATAAAATCAAAGTATCTAAACTTCAATAAAATATTGAAATGCTTAAAATATTTTAAATTTTTAAGATTATTTCGTAGTTAAAAAATTAAAATGGTGTTCATGTTGTATGTAATTTTTTCCATTAATTGTATTTTCAATTATACTTAAATTTTGCAAACATCAGGCTGTTAATAAAAAACTCAAGTCAACACAAAACATACCCAATTCCATGCTAAAAAAATGTTCGTCTGCAATTTTTTAAACTTACTTACAGATGTGGACTATTGTCCTCATCATTGTTATAACAACGTTTCGGCCATTGTGCTCTCTGGCCTTCATCAGGGGCATAACAGTAAGTAATATTTGTTTCAGATTCAAAATTAATTAAATTTGAAATCAGTTAATTTTTTTTCAAAAAACTATTCAGAAAAATATATTTAAATTTTGGAAAATGTTTTTAATAAAGAGAATTATGTTGTGTTGACAGATTTGTCAATATGGACGAATTTATAGATTTTACTGATATGGAGTAAGACAAAAAAGATTCCAATCAATTTGAATTTGGTTTAAAATACATCAAAGTATTTTGCTTATTGGTAATATTAAATTTAAATCCATTAGTTTGGAATTAAAACTAAAATTAAAGCTTCAAGAAAGATTTTAATTTATTTTAAATGCATTTTAAATTTAGGTATCATTTGTTTGGAGGTATCTATTCTAAAGAGATTTTATTTTAAGACAATTCCAAATAGTAAAAATAAGACAACGAAATTTTGTATGGTGTTATAGTGGAACACACTTATTCTATAGTTAATAGACTCTCCCACCTATAATAAGTAGGAGTAATAAGAGTAACGAGTCAGTTGCTCAGTCGCTCAGGGAGTTCGGTCAGTCAGTCAATGCCGGACGACCGTTAGTCGGATACTAAAGTATCAGCAACCACAACTAGATTTCTCTGCATCATTACCTATTATATCAAGTTCCTAACGTTTTGTACGTCAAACCTATTTTAGGACCGACTTAGTACAAATACAAGCCTCCACTGTGAAACTACTCCACAACATATGGTCAGAAATCCAATTCCAGAATGTAATCTTGCAGTGACATAGTTTCAAATTCTAATAAACTATTGGCAAGAAGTGATAGATTATTTTGCAAAACTAAATAAAAATCAGAATAAGTTCAGTTCCAGGTTAGCACCATCGCATTACACCTAAAGTGGTAAGGTCTAGGAAACTGAAGAATTATTGGCAATGTCCTCGTGTGTGGGGGGTGGGGCTCGATGTTAACTGTGACTGTGTGTAACCATTGGGGTGGTGCAAGTAAAGCTCATCAATCTCTCATCTATATATCACCAAGGAATTTCAAAGTCATTTTCCTTTTGGATTTCATGTCCCTCTCGGATGTTGGCAACCATGAATCTCCACAGATCCATTATTATCTGTGTATTACCATTTGCATTCTTGGGAAAATTGTAGAGTGCTTTCCCATTGCTTTCTCCAAGGTTTTTCCTTCTCTTAGACTGATTGCCACCCAAGGCTAGAGATCCCAGTCTACCCTGCTTTCCATAGCTGTGGAGAGAAGAGATTGATTCATACCTTTCCCAGGAACATTTATGTGAAAGTGAATGCAACACACAAGCCTAGAACTCAACAATTCCAATTGCCACACCGAAATTGGTTCCACTTTCCACACATCCAATAAATATATTTACGCTTACTTTATCTATAGAAAACCACCCCCACCCAAAATTGCTAAAAGTTGTGAAGGATATAATCTTGCATTAGTTGGAGACATAATCTGAAATTGTTGTGCTCCTTCTTCATTTATGTGCCATGTCTCTGTACAATCAAAGCTCTCCACAACTTCTTACCCTTTGTAGTTCTAAGTGTTCTTTGTCCTCTTACTATCTTTCCCATTCCTTGTTCTGCCATCCATTTACACAAGCTTGTTAGGTAGCTTGATCATGGCTCTCCCCAACTTCCTATCCTTTATAGCTCTAAGCAATGTCTGTCCTCTTCCTATCCATCTCATTGCTTGTTCTGCCATCCATTTACACATTCTTGTTAGGTAGGTTATTTTAATCTTTCAGATGAGGAATTCTAAAGTTCATTCAAATAGTCTCACCCAGAAGGAGTTGGAGAAACAAAACAGTTTTTCACTATTTTTCAGTACAGTCCCCCTTAACATCAATGCACTTGGTCCAATGGTGCTTAAGCATTGCAATCCCATCACAGAAGAAGGTGGCATCTTGGTCTTCCAAAAATTCCTCCACAGCACACATGATCTCATCATTCTTTCCAAAATGGCAACCACACAGGTGGGATTTGAATTTAGAAAATAGGAAGTCAGATGGGGCTAAGTCTGGTGAGTAAGGGGTGGCAATTCAAAGCGACAGTTGGCTGCTTTAGCTACTGCAACCTGAGCAATGTGAACAGGTGTGTTATCATGGAGCAAAAACACACCTGCCCTCAGCTTCCCTCTGCATTTTGACTTGATTGTTTCTTTCAGTTGTCTTAATTCTGAGGCATGGTACTGTCCATTAATTATTTTTTTTCCCAGCAATCTATCATATTTATCTATCTATATTTAGAATCAAAAAAGCCATCACTTTAGCAACAGACACTGTCTGCTGGAACTTCTTTGGGATGGAAAACCAGAGAGTTTCCTCTGTTTGCTTTGAATCTTTGATTCAGGTTTGAAGTAGTGATACCAGGTTTCACCTTGAGTTACTAATCTGCAGTGGAAATTCTCGGGATCAGCCTGGAAGCAAGTCAGAAATGTCCTGGAAATTTTAACCCTTTTCAGCTTCTAGTCTGGTGTGAGTATTCTTAAGATTCATCTTGCAGACACCTTGTTCATCCACAAGATCTCAGTTAAAACAGGTATGGACCAAACCAGAACTAATTCCTATGGACTTAGCCATATGGTGAATGACATCAGTTTGTTCATCAGTGAGCAAGGTTTTTGGATGACCTGACTGAGGGTCATCTCTGCTGACCCTGTCCCACTTGAATTCCACAGCCCACTTCTTCACAATTGCATAGGAAGGAGAGTCCTCAGCATGTGTCTGTACCATGTCCTCATGGATTTCCTTGGGTATCATACGTTTCTTTTGCAGATGCTTTATGACTGCTCAGGCCATAGTTTTGTCCATTTTTACATTTGTCGCTCAGCTCTCACCTTTGTATTACCTCACCTGCACAGAAATTAAGACAAAAATCTGAATTAGTTTTTCTAGTTTTATAAGAATTGGTAAGGTGTTGACACAATGAAAATGTTCAGCTATGGCTCTTCTTTCTGGGTGAGGTTTGGAACTTTTTGAATGACCCTCATTTTAATGATAATATTAACCTAATGATAGGAATTATTACTATTACTTTGATCATCTAGATGAGGAATTATCTCTCTTATATGCCTTACTATTCCTATACTTTGTAGCTCTAAGCAATGTTTGTCCCCTTAAATGCTACTGAATTCTTTCAAAGAATTGAACATTTGCACAATGCTGAGCTATTTCAATTATTTTTATAATGGATAAAGACTTTTTGGAATAAGTCAATAGTTCTGTTGAATATGAAATAAAAAACAAAAAAATACAAGGAAGGTTTGATGACAGTAAATTCTTCTTGAAACTATGAGAGTTAACTAGTACCTTTTAAATTTCCAAAACTAAATATTTTTTATTATTCCCTATTTTTCATATTATTTTCTATATTGCTTCAACTGAGTCTTTGTCCTTTTTCAGGTGTATGTTGATTTTTCAAAGTGTTTATCTTTAGATGAAGCATTATCAACTATTAGTAAGTTTTTAACTCATAGTTTTCTTGATTTTTAGTTGTTTTTATGACAACTTACTCAAATGATCTTGCCACAGCAACAAGTGTCACAAATTGAAAATAGCAAAAGATAAGCTTCCAGCATAATTTGAACTAATATTCCCTTTACGAGCTTTACCAAATAACAAGAGCTATACCACTTGAACACTTCTAATAGCTTCAACAAAAAAATGGGTAGCATATGGAACTAGAAGAGAAAATAATGATATAATCAATGATATATTCAAGATGTTTTTATATTAAGTCATGGAAAACAGGACAGACTCAGGTTTGAGAGAGAGCTGACATGAAACATGACTGGCTTAGCCTATGTAAGCGATATCTCATAAAACATCTTTCTCCTTTTGAAAAAAGACATGTTTTTTTTTTTCAAATTGAAATGAGCAAGAGATGAGTGGCCAAGGCATTCACTCGGTAGACTGCTCTCTTGCCTTACAGGGTTTATTTTGCCCCGTCACTCAACTTTCTTTTCTTTATTGGTCCCTTAGTCTTGCTGGTTTTCTGACTCTTCTCCAAGAATGCATTTTCTTCACTGAATCATCCTGATGAAGTGTCTTTGGGATCTTCCTATTGTCTGGGTTTATAGTTGGTTGGGGTGTTGGATTTGCTACATTGAACTGGTTTTCTGAAGTCATGCCTAGGTGATTGCCTTGGACTGGATATAGCTGAATCCCCACAGATGGAGTTGGGAGTGCCTCTGCTGTTTTCTTCAAGTTAAACTGGTTTCGTCAGTGCAGCTCCCTATCAACATCAACATGGTATTACCTTGCATCCAGTTTTTGGTCTGTTCACTTTTTCCTATTGGACTCTAGCCCCCATCTGGAACTCCTATTTGTTCATGCTAACCAGGTCCATTTTTTGTGTGGCTAGGAGTGAATGCAAGTCATCTCACACAATCATAAAATTTACAGCTACTCCTTTTCATTTTTTAAGTTTTTCAATTTTACATGGCATTCACCCAGTGGTTTCATTTTTGCCCCATTCTACATGACTAGGGTCTTGTCAGAGGGCCTCAGATTCCACTCATGAGCGTGTTTGACACTTAACATGTTCACCAAAGCACTGCTATCAAATTGAAGCACAATTATTTTATTGTTCACCATCATTTCAGCTCGAGTTGTTCCATGTGCTAGACTGCCAGCTACTCGTTGTGATCATATCTATGTGCTCAAAGTCCGACTGACTACTGCTACTATCTCCACTCAGCTACTGTGTGCACAGTGTCTTAACCTGTTTCTTTCCTGACTTGCATTTTGCTACAAAGTAATTCTTGCCGTGGCATTTCTGACATGCTTTTCCATAAGCTGGACATTGTTCCTTCACTGGTTCATGGCAAGAACTACAGAACTGGCATTCTTTTCTGAGATTAAAGTTGGTTGGAAAGCATGGAGCCAGAAGGAAGTTCCACAAGCAAGAAGGGTGAGAAAAGAAACTGTCAGCATAGAACTTACAGCTACATCTAGCCAGCTCAAGTGTAAATTGATGAGATTCTTACACCAGTCTAGTACTGCGCTTGAATTCAAAAGGTCTAGGTACCATAGCAAAGAGCTCATCCAAAATACCATGAAAGTATTTATAGAAAAGGCAGAGAGAGACCTCATGGCAGTGGGAAATTGACTATCAAATGTTCTTGTTAATACAAAAATAGGTCATAAATCTATGTTTTTAAGAATGACACCAGCAATCATCCACTGCTTACCTTTATCATGGGTCACATTAATATCTTAGGCTTCTCAGAACAATTAACTTTGGAAGGTTTTATTTATTTCTAGAAGAAACAGGTGTAGTATAAACAGTATTTTATATTTTAGGCAAAAGATGGTCCCAGCACAAATGAAGAATTGGATGAGACAGGACCTCAGGAAGTTCCTGACCAAAATGTCAATGAAAGTGAGGAAACCAAAGTTTCGGAAACTAATGCTACAGATGAAACAGAACTTCCCAAAACTGAAGAAAGTCAAAGTGAGGAACCACCAGCCTCTGTTCAAGAACAATCTCCAGGTTTGAAACATTTTATAAAAGAATATTTTTTTTAGTTCCATGAGTTGCCTGGAAAGTATCCAACCATTTCATAGTGCCAGAGTCCACTTCAAAGTCCTACCCTTGAGGCATCACACACTTATCTCTATGTCCCTTCTATGTTTCAAAACAGTCTGCTTACAGGTTTTATTACATTCTTCTTAATCTTATCCCCAACATTTTAATGGCAGTTTTAACTTTAAAAAAAGCTTAAACTTGCAGAGGGCCAAACCTAGACAGATGCAGGTGGGAGTGGAGACTGACAGAACTGAATGATGCAATATTTTGCCAGAAACTCCCACAAAAGATGTGTAGAATCTACTTGTGAATGTTGTGGTCATGCAGCACACAATGTCATTCATTGACATCTTGTTGCTAACTGAATAACTTCATAGGAGAGTGTCTGTTCATATACACACAGTAAGATCCTCCTTGATTGGTTGCCAAGTTTCATCAAGGCCCTTCAACCAATTTTTATGATACTCAAAATGGCCACATATTTTCTGAACAGACTTTGTATTCTTATTCATATATCTATATTTTTTCACTGTCTCAGTTAAACTCCTCATTGGCTTTCTTTAAATGTATAATGCATCCTGTGACAGGGAAAGGAATATTTACAATAGCCAGTACCAGATTTTGGTGTCAGAGATTCCTGTTAGTAGCTTCATTACTTTTTTCATTGAGATTATGGCAATTGATTTCTTCTTTTTTTCAGTTGAGAAAATAGCAAAAATAGATCAGTAGATGCTAATCTTTACACTAAAAGAAAGAAAGAAAAAGATTGATTCTATGTACAGATATCTAATTCTAGAATTCTCTTATAATAAGAACTTTTGCCTCATCTTTATGAATTGTATATGTGACAAAGGATGAAAGGATTCCATAAATATGATAAACCAACAAGGAGAAGAATGTTATTCAACTTCATGGATTTATAGTAATGACTTGTTTCGGAATTTTGCATTAATATTTTCTTAATCTGTTTATTTCTGGGCATTGCCTCCATATGTGGCTCTGTTAATAAATATGAGAAATAAAGAGAAACATCTATGCAGCCACCCATGACGTTAGTGGAGATGGGTCTACAAGTGAGGATTATATACTTTTAAACAATAACTACAGAGGGCTGAAAAGATCAGAGTGTGCCTTCAGATACAACAAAGGCTGATGCAAAAGTGAAAAGCAGATAACAGATTCAGATTAAAATCAATGTCAAAATGGAATTATGAGCAACTTGCTACTAAGCAATTAAAAATGTACCACTTATGTACCACAATATGGTGGTTTGCATTTGGAGGCTCTTTGATAAAGCAAGCAAAAGTGTACCTTCTGGGAATTAAATATTGTTGTGTGCTCTTCCTTGTCATTAACACCAAAGGACCAATTATACTAGGATGACAAACCTGCAGAAAGTTGGACTAAGTGACTCTCAACCTTATAATCAAGGCAAAGACTTTATGCAGTGAACAACCACAGAAATGTTAGTCTAAGACTAGACATAACCTAAAAACATCTCTGATCAACACAGAAAAACAAAATTTATTGCAGTACCAAGGGCAAGCACAAGAGGAGGTCCTAAATCACAAGAATTTATTTTTTTTAAAATTCCTGACATGTTTGATGACATCAGCTGTCTGCTTGGAGAGAATTTGATAAATGAAAATGCAACAATACCCTTTAGTCATAGATCCATCTCGTCAAGTTTCTGTAGGTGTAAAGGACAAGTTCAAGGCTGAGTTGGACTCCCTTGTGAATCAAGGCATCACAACTCTAGTGACTGAATCAACCCTGTCCTGGGTATGATGATAAACTACATCCAGTAGCAAGGCCTCTGATCAGGAAGTTTTAAAGAGCATGGAACCAATGTTGTTCCCTGGTCCAGCCTGACCCAGGTTGGTAGTCCCTGGTAGGGTCCCAGCTATGGGCAAATTGTTAACACCCAAACAGGGGTCAAAGCACTATAAAAGAATAAAAAGTTTTATAGCAAAAATACCAGCAATACATTTTCACCATAAAAATTACCAGCAATACAATACATTTTTGTCAAAAAAAAATTGTGACCCCCATATATAACTTCAATGCTTTTCCTTTAGTGACTATTCTTGGAAAAACTCATCTTTTTCTTTTGAAAATTTATATTGAAATCAAATGATATTTCTATTTCTTTAGACCGTATTTCTTTACTTATACAAATTTTGAATAAATTTAATTCATTAAATAAAACTTTTACTTCTTTTATTGATTTCCCTCTCCACCAGACAAACTCATTTGTTAAATACCAAATCCTTTTTAGTCTTTTTTCATTAAAAATTATTTTCTATGCATTTTCTGTTCACAGTCCAAACTGAGACAACAGAAGCTAAGGATGCAGATGCTTCTGATGCAGCTGCAACCACTGGTGATGAGTTTGTAAAAGATGATGATGACAAAACCGAAGCTACAGAAGAATCCAAAGCAGACGAGAGTCAAAATGTGACATCAGAAAAAACAGATGAGGATGATAAACAATCTGAAAAAGAAACTGTGAATTCTGATGATGTTGTTGTTGAAAGTTCGGAAATGAAAGAGGAAGATGCTATTACATCAGATATACACAAAGTTAAAAAGAAAAAAGAAATATCAATCAAATGGCAGGAGGAAGTTGAAATTACTGATGAAGATGTTTTATCAGAAGGTAATTCAATTCTCATCACACAATTCTTTACCATCTCATTGATGAAATCTTTAGCAAGAGGTATACAAAAAACAATTACTCTTCAGGTCTTTGATCCACAAGGAACAAATCTCTCTTCTTCTTCTTCTTGTTCTATGTGTCGTGTCCCTTCAGCACTTTGGAAATCATGGTTCTCTATAATTTCATGTCTTTTGTAGCTTTCAATAAATTTTGTCTTTTTTTTTTATCTCTCCTAAACATTGCTCCACCATTTATTTACACAAGCTCTCTATGTAAGTTATGCATTGTTTTTCTCTGTCCCCCTTGCCTTCAATCTATCCTGTGAGTATCAAATTTTCCAAACCCTCTTTCTTCATTATGTGTCCTAAATTTTAACTCTTTCTGATGTTAAGTATAAGTGTCCTTTTCGTTTATATTTTCTCCCAAACTTTGTCGTTGCTCACATGTTCAGTCCCTGGTATTCACAGCATCCTCCTGTAGAACCACATTTCTGCTGCTTCAAGTCTCTTCTTCATCTATGAGGAGATTGTTCAGCATTCATTGCCATATAGTAAGACTGTTATTAGAGAACAGTTTAGTACTCCTTTCTTTGTTTCTAATGAAATTTTTCTGTTTCTTAATACTTTGCTTAGCTTTTGGAAGACATATTTCGTTATCCCAATGCACCTTCAGATTTCAATGTTGCACTTTCTGTCCTTTGTTAAAATACTGCTGAGATATATAAATTGTCGTAATTGTTACATTTTGTTATCTCCAATTTGCAATTTGTATGTTGGGCTGTTCCTTTTGCTGACAACTATGCATTCTTTCTTCTTGCAATTAATATTTAGTCCTTCCTTCTCTACACCTACACCTTTATAAAGAAAGACATAAGATAAAACGATTGTTCAACATTGTTATAATTCAAAAATCTTCCTAAAATCATTCAGTAAAAGATAACATCACAATAAAAAGAAGGTTGTGGTTAATTTTTAAATAATATAAACAAGAATGAAGAACTGCACTTACCCACCAATTCCTACCACAAACAAGCAAGTGGGAAAATAATATTTGATCTCTCTATGTTTGACTTCCTTTTCACAGTTGTTTTTTGATCACGCTCTTCTTTCTCTCTTTCTATTTCTATGTTGCCTTTTCTTCCTCTTCTTCTTCCTTTAACTTTGGCAATCAGAATGTTTACACCTATCATTCCAAAATCAATTTAACAAAAAAGCTCCCCCACCCCCAAAAAACACCACTCTATTCCCCTTTATAGAGACATTCGTTACCCTGCAATGATCTGGTCTTTGTCTAAAAAGATTTTCTTCCTTATTTATTCGGTTTCTCTATCAGTATCAAGGTAAGTGACACTTTTTACTTTATTCATTCATTCATTCATTCAAACCATAGAAATTAAAAGATGAAAAAGAGTAAATTAAGAATGCTTTAAAGATATGATATATGAATGTCATATCATATCATGAGTTTTGTAATCCATTAGGGTCATAGAGGCACCACATGTGCTGCAGTCATAGCAACAGTGGTGTGTCTAGGGCAAGATATTGCTGACACATCAGAGATTCTTGATAAAATACAAAAAAGTATCTGCAATGTTATTGGCCCTGACCTGGTATCTTGGCTTCAGTCACTTTCCCACTACTGTAACATAGCTTTCCTCTGCATTTTCTATAAATATTTTCATGGTAATTATTCTGAAGAGCTTTTTTATTTGGTACCTAGACATTATGAATGTACAGTATGAGAGTGGCTGTAAAAATTTGAAAGCAATGTTAATCATTATCTTTTGTTTTCTTAATTCCTGTTCTTTTATTGTTCTCTCTCCTTGTTTGTTTTCTTTCCTCATCTTCTACCATACTCAGTAACCCCTTGCACCTTAGTGGTGTTATTGCCTTGCTTGGAGTGAAATGATTAAAAGCAAAGATAGCCTGAGCCCATACCTCTTCAAGCCGTTAACCATTACAATATTCGTACCTCCCATGAATATGGTTGCCAGTATATCCAGCAAAAAGGAAGAATGAAAGCAAGAAGTCTTTATCAGTGGGGAATTTAATGAAATATCTTTACTTTCTTATTTAAGGGAAGGTTATTACCTTTTTCTACAGATAGACATGCTTGGCCTATAAAGCTGGATGAGAGGTACACATAAAAGACCCACTATTATTTGATAAGCAAAATGTAAAAATCTTACAACCAAATGAAGGCCTCTTTTTTTTTCTTTTTTTTCCTCAACACCCACACATGACAGATATTCTCTTGTGCCGAATGTAGAAGCTGAAATAAATATTTGTTCTTGTTTTTAAACTTATTTCTTGTCTTGATACTAAGCAGACATAAAAAAAAATGAAGCTGGCATACTAAATGGAACAAATTGTAGTATTATTTGTTGGCCCCTGACCATGAATATGTCAAAGTTGCATAATACGTGAATGTTGAGTATGTTTCGTATTTTTAAAATAAAACTAAGTCAAGATAGATGAGAGTTCAATAACTTGAATCCAGCGATGTATCTGTGCTGATGGATTTGAAAGATAATGTGTTTCTTAAAACATGTCCAAGAGATCACTTGATTTACACAAAGACAAAACTGTTATTTATTGAACAATAGAAATGATGAAGTCTGATGAGAATCCAGAACTAAAGTAAAACAATAAAAAGGTAAAATTTATTCAAATGTTTTCTCTTTTCTTTTTCTAACCATCAGAAGCCAAGAGCAAAGAAGAAAGTGAAGGTGACCAAGAAACCAAGAATATACAAATGGAAAATGTTGATATTGAAAGTAGATTTCCTGAGCAGGTAACATATATATATATATATATATACCCAAGTATATGATAGGTGTATATGGAATAAATTCCAATAACCAACAATTACTATTCTTAAAAGAGTGCTCAATACAGAGTAGAGCAGATATACTTATTTATTTAAAAATTATAACATAAATATGTTATAAAATCACTACAAAAATAGCCATTTTGTTTCAACACTTCTGGTGTCTTATCAGGTGATGATGTTGAATGTAAAATAAATGGTTTTAAAAGTTTCAAATTCATTAATGATCCTTCGCAAGGGGAAAACTTGTTACAAAAGCTAGAATGACCAATCAAAACACAAGTATAGGAAAATTCAAAAAACTTGACAATGAAGTAAGGTTATAATAGCTATTTAGATCTTTAAAATAGGGGTTATATTAAAAAAGAATTTATTCTAACCAATAATTATTAAATTACATGATAAAATTTGATATTAAAAGTAAAAAATTACCAATTTTAAAATCCAAATTTAATCTCTATTAAGTTTAAAATTATAAAATTACTGAGGAGAAAAGAAAAAATACATATGCTATTCAATTTATTTCTTCATTGAAATTAAGTTAGAATAGATGCTAATGTCTACTGGTCTTCCGACAATATGTATACATTTTAATCCCAAGTGTGTGAATGGGATCCTAACCTCGCGTAAAACAATACAAGCACATTCAGATTATAATAAATAAGCACCCAGACATATTTAGATATATACACACACAAAAAGTGACGAGACAGGGAACATCTCCACCTTGAAACTTTTAAAACCATTTATTTTACATTCAACATCATCATTTGATAAGACACCAGAGGTGTTGAAACAAAATGGCTATTTTTGTAGTGATTTTATAACATATTTATGTTATAGTTTTTAAATAAATAATTATATATATATATATATATATATATATATATATATATTATATTCACTGGGCTGGTCATGTTGCAAGGATGAGTAATGACAGAATACCTAAGGTCCTCATGTATAGTTAGCTTGACAGTGGACAATGGACTGTTGAACATCTGTGCCTCAGGTGTAAAGATCAGCTAGTAGTGTGCCTCATACTAACTTCAAGTGAATTGCCCTGGATAGAAATAACTGGAGATATTTGCACCAGAGTGGTATCATAAATTTTGAAAACAGTCATATTAACCAGCTAAGAGACAAAAGACAACAATGAAAAGCTTCAACAAATCCTTGCTGTTGCACAATATGTGGAATTGTATGTCTAGAGAGACTGAAGTGACACAAACAAAAACTGAATGAGGTTGCTAGATCCTCATACGTCAAAATTGACATGAGAGTCCATCATATATATATATATATATATATATATATATATATTTATGTATATATATATAATTTTTTTTATATCAATTTCAATTTTTTATTAGTATCTTTTTTTGTAACCAATTCACTTTTTACCAATTAATTTATTTTTCTCATAAGAAAATGGACAGCTCTACTATCTTACCAGTAGTTTATAATCATTGACTTTTTACAATGATCAGTTTTTAATTTGTGCTTAAAGTTGCATTTTTAGTATAAATTTTAGCTTTTATTTTATATTAAGCACTGTTTTATTATTACCACTGACACTCACTGTGTGCCCTTTTTATATTTATATCTATCTATCTATAGTGGTCAATATATAGCATACTGTAAAACTATATATTATCATATATATATATATATATATATATATATATATATATGTGTGTGTGTCTGTAAATTATTTTCAGATAGAGTGTATGTATAAGGAACAAAATGAATAAAAAAACAAGAGAAAAAATATTATTCTTAGCCAATACATTTGCCTTGATAAATTCTCTCAGAGAACAAAACATTGGCTAAGAATAGTTTTTCCTATTGTCTTTTATTCATATATATGGTGGGCTCTCCCGTCATATTCAACGTTTGAGGGTCAAGCAGCTCAGTTCCTAGTAACCAACAGCCCAGACACCAGCACATATGGTTTGATTATAATGGAGAAGGCTTTGTGCAGAACCAACCACACTTTTTGAAGGGTGGAATACAGAGACATGGTGCATTACATGCCACAAGGTCCCCAAAAATTTTGAATTCAGAGTTATCCTTCTTCTAGACCAGATGCCATCCAAGGCTATAGAACCCAGTCTGCCCTGCTATTTACCCATAGCTGGAGGGAGAAGAGGATTAATACCTTTCTTAAGGGTATTAGCACATAAGTGAATGTAATGTATGTATATATATTACTAGCAGTAGAGCTGGGGATGTAACAGTAAGAGGTAGATCAAGTATCGACCATCATAAAGACTGAAAAATAAAATTGACAAAGATTATTGTTTAAGGATGATGGACACGCATGTCTTAATTAGTTTTTTTTTTTACGAATTGGTCAAACTCAAACAAAAACATTGTTTTCAATCGTTATGAGTCTCTACCGATTGAATAGAATTTTATTATAAACAATTGTCTTGTAAATGGAATTTTTAAAGCATTCTGAATGTAAAAATAAAGAAAAAAGTGTGCAAGACAATAAGAAACCTGCCAAAAAAAAAAAAGTGAAGTTTTGTTGAAATTGGTTGAAAAATGTAGGAAATCCAATCCCATATATAAATGAACACACACACACAAACAACCTGGGTTTTATAATAAGTATAACTCGATATGAGTTGTCCCCCTTTCATTCTCATGATTCCTCTTAATCATGTTTTCAAATTGATTTCATGCAAAAACTATTGTTTTTTCAATTTTGGGCGCTGTCAGAACCATCGCAAGTTTATTTCACGTAGTCCTGTGAAGTTTTGTTGAAATCGGTTGAAAAATGTAGGAAATCCAATCCAATATATAAACGTACAGACACACACACACAACCTGGGTTTTATAATAAGTATGATAATAATAATAATAATAATAGCTGGCCACTCATATTCAAGGTTGGCTAGCCAATCCCTATTGCAGACGCTCGCTCAGGCACATTTGTGTTTGCTCAACACCCACAGAGCCCACCTGTGTTTTATACTGCAACTATGCTGAGCAGACCTTAGTTACAGTTTCTGGGAAAGAGCATGTTATCTAGTGTGATCAACCATTTGAACAAAGCCAGCATGCTCAATCCCTCAGCCATGATGACTTGTGGCTTTGTGCTAGCACAGCTATCGATGACATCAATAGTTCCATTTACCCAATTTCACTCACAAGTATTGGGTCAACCCGTGGTATGGTTTTCAGACACTTTCCAAAGGAGCCGCATGCTGATATCGGCCTCCATCCATTCTGATAACATCAGGAAGTTTCCTTCCTGACAAATCGACCATGGTGAGATTCAAATATATATATATATATATATATATATATATATATATATATATATATATGTATTTACAAGTTTCATCAAAGATGACTGACAAGGTACTACAATTAAGCTTTTTATTCAATTTTTCTTGTGTTTGTATGTGATTTCTTTTCTGGACATAGTGTATAAAAACTGTCCAAAGGTTGTATATATCCAATCATTTTTGGCTATTCTTTTAGCTATTATCAAGGATATTTTTTCATTTTAATTTTTAACTGAATGTGTAGATTTTTCAATATATATATAGAGTGATGTGAATGTTTTCCCGATCAAGTCAAATTCATGAATAATTATTAAACATACCATTACAAGCCTATCAAAAGGACATGTTGCATTTCTCTGACCATAGCTCAATTAGGACTCATTTAAACATACCAAATTCCATATGCAACATGTTTATAGGAAATACAAATATAATAGCCTCATTCACATGTAAAAAAAAAAAGCTAAAAATAATGGCAATAATAAAAAGGATAAAAGCCAACACTCAATAACATCAACTATGAACATGGCTACTATCTGCTGACCATGTTAAGAAAATAATAATTTAAAAAAGAAAAACATTCCCAATTATGAAATATTTTTATTTTGCATGAGCCATAAATTAAATGTTTGCACATATTTTCTGATTTGAAATTATTCAAATTAAAATAAGAGTTTTAATCTCTGTCTCTATTTCTGAGATGAGGTATTGTAATTATTTACATTACTTACATTGTTTGGGCTGTTATCCTTATCTTTGTTGTCATATTCATGACGTTTCAGCTGTTGTATGCTCAGGCCTTCTTCAGGCGATTGGAATTCTGAATCAAACCCTTTATTTTGCCCACCAGGGTAGATTGTTCTAGTTCTACATGCCATGCCTGGGACATGGCAGGTGGAACTAGAACAATCCACTGGGCCATGTATCCTTGATTTGTGAACAAAAAGAGTTGTGAACAAAAACTTGGAGAGTTGAGTAAATAACTGAAACTGAGATATCTGGAAGAGGAATGGCATGTGGAACTAGAACAATCTACCCCGGCGGATGAAATAAAGGGTTCGGCTCAAAATTTCAACCACCTGAAGAAGGCCAGAGCATACAACAGCCAAAACATTGAAAATATGACAACAAAGATGAGGACAAATATAAATAGTGTAAAGAATTATGATGATCTTATTGCAAACAGTTTGAACACACAATTGTCTTATTTAAACAATTATATCAATTATATTTTTCTGGCAGATTTTGCCAGGAATAAAGGAAGCTGATGAAAGTGACACTTCGAAGGAGGAACCTAGAGAAGTTTTACGTCCAGACAGCCCAAGTGAGCAGCAAGAAGAAGGTAATTTATTTACATTTCTCTTTTAAGGTCTCAACCTACAAAACCATTTGAGAGTAAGAATGTTACACAAATAGAAATTCTATGATCTTTAAGAAATCTTTTTTCTACAACACCTATGAATTCTGAATAAATGACAAAGAATTGGCTATTTCTGCCTTCAACAGATGAGGATGTTGACAATGAATGTTGTAGAAAAAATTAAAACAAATCATTCAAAGGGATTAATAACTCAACATCAAAATGATAGCAAAAAGGGTTTCCAGCAATAAAGAGACTGCAAGAAAAATTTTACACAAAAATTTGAATATTTATTGCTCATTGTCTTTAACCTCTTCTTCACCAAATGTGTTGCCGCTGATCAAATTTCAAAGCAGATGTCATGCATTCTTCCCCATAAATTCACTTAGTTGACATTCAGTAAAAATTTCAATTTGATGTTTTGTTCAATTTTTACATGTCAAAAGAACATGAAAACACAAGCAAAACTTTCAGGGATCATTTATGCTTATTCATTGGTCAATGTTTACCAGAATGGTTCATGTTGGCATGCCATAGTTCAGCTTAAATCAGTCCACTCTAATTCTTTGATAATCATGTGGGGAAAATAGAAATGGCTTACCTCCCAAATGCCCTCACGTCTGTCTGGCCCGTGGGTTGAGAAATGAAAGAAAGGGTCCAAGATGGCGTCCGTGACTTTTTAATATTCACGGTCTCGTGCAGTCTCGTATGGTCGCGTTACACGCATGCTAATGAGGTGTGTCTGGGCTCCATAAAAGCAGGTCGTCTGGAGAAATTGGCAGAAGGCATTACACCCGTGTTCGGTAGACGTTGCTTTGCGTTGCGTCGTGTCAGACATTTTCCTACGGAAAGAGTTGCGTCCCTTACACTCCATATTGAATTTGACTCCTTTGCTACAAATCACAACATTGCATTAACTAACCAACTGATTATTGGCATTCTGAGGCTTAATCATCCATGGCTAATGGCTAAATATCACAATCACATTGACCATCAACTGTTAAATGATCCTATTGCAATGACTCACCAATGGTTTTATTTCACTGGTTCTGTTACAATATGTAATTGGCTAGTCGTATTTAATCTTTTTATCACAATAATTAAGTGACTCTTTCAAGGAGACCAATTGACAAATATTGGTCAATGGTTCTGTTAACTGACCAGCAACACTGTCATGATGATCCATTGGCATTGTGTGGTTCTATCACAATGCTAAAATGGTCAGTTTTCCAATACGCTTAAAGACTTTCAATGATTCTCTCAGAATTGACTAAAATAGCCAGAGAGAAAATTCATATGATTCTTGTTTAAAATCACTTTCTTTTTGATTTACAATTATTAGTTTCTCTGGGAGAAAACCTTGTGCACCACAATCCCCTGATCCAATACTGAGTCACCTCTGGTGTAATTATAATCAAGAGTGGATATGGCTCATTAACCATAATTCAGATAAATTTGACATCAAACTCTGCTACAGTAGCATCCAAATGACAGTAATAATATGTTAACCCGTAAGAACAGAAAATGATTAGTAGATGATAATGATATATCAATTAAATATTGAGTATTTTACTAGCATATATAAATAATGTCAATTTTTCTAATGACAAATAAAGGTGACTCATTTGAAACTTTTGCCTCTATGTTGATTTAAATTCCAGCTCTTAGCAGATGACAAGTTTTTTGCTTGTCCACCTTACCAAACAAAGTTTGATTTTTTAGAAGTGCCAGTCATCCAGTGTTGAACACATTAATACTATTTAAATAAACAGGTCCACTCAAAAAATATGGAAAAATTCTTTTGTAAATAATTTTTTTAGATTAGCATTCTCTAAACCATCTTCAGGCTGTGACATTTGTCTGAATCAAAAAGTATTGACTAGTTATCAATTTAGAAACAGAATCCTGTTCATAATAGTGATACAATGTAAAATTGATCCCTGACTTTGAAGAGTTATTGCATCAGTTTGAAACTCTGATTTCATCTTTCATATCTGCATATAATTTTTTTTTATTTACAAAAATATTTTTACAAAAGAACAAATGGATATATACATTTTTAATTAAAGAACAGCAAATTCAACTATTTTCAAAGAATATTAAGGAGGGGGGGGTTCAAATTTATATAAATTAATAAAAGTATATATTCATTTATTCTTCATTTAAGATAACTAGTAAACCCCAATGTTTTAAAAGATAAAAAACTTAAAAAGATTGTGAAAATTAAAAATAAATCTATGAGGATATCAATGATGTAAGCACAGTTTCAAACGTGACATTTGTTAACAAAACTGCTTGTTTCACATAACTCTTCAAAGTCAGGGATTGATTTTACACTGTAATGCTATTATGAACAGGACCCCACTCCACTTCTAAATCAATAATTAATCATTTACTTCTAATAAGTTTCACAGTCTAAGGAATGTCTCTAAAGAATGCTAATCTACAAAAATTATTTCCCCCTAAAAGATATTCACTATTTTTTACAAGTGGACCACTCTACTTAATTAATGTCCAACATATTTCTAATGAAAATCTGGTTCACAGGTTTAACTTAGAGAAAAGGTAAATAAATGTCAAGCTTAGGATCTAGATGAGAATGAACCACAGATCTACTGAATGATGTGGGGAGGGACACACAGTGATCAAAGAAAGTTGAACTTAGCAAAAAATATCAGAATAAGCCATTAAAAATAAAGTTTTGTAATTATTTCTGTTGAAAAATTCAGTCATATTTTTGCTGTGTGATAAAATTATATTGGATGATATTTTTGTGTTGATTGACCATTAGATACAAGAGTGGGCATTGCTTATCATGGTTGATATTAATTTGAATTTCTAATGAAGCACAGTAAGAAGGCAACTAGTAAACTATTAACAATTTTCAGGGCTCAAAATTCAGTTTCAGATACTTGACCTGATATGAATGCATTATGATGGACAACAAAGTTTGTTGCCAATTCAGAACAGTTTACTAGACTAAGGAATTTCAATAAGGTTGAAATATTTTTGTTTGTAGAAATGGAAGGAAAGTTAGAAAGTGAAGATGCTCTTTCTACAGACACTACTCATGACCGAGCCAAACTCATTGAACAATATCAGGTAAGAGTCTTTCAAAATTGTGACTATTTCTCATTGGAATGAATAGGAAACAAATCCAAGGAATTTTTTTTTAAATCTTTTTATGATAGAAACAAAAAAATGGATTTAGAATTCATAGAATTTCATTTTTTTATGGGGGCGTAGAGGCTGTAATCATTGCTTGAATTTTATTTGCAGCAATGCATTTCAATCCGTGACCAACTGCAACAGCAGAATGCACAAATTCAGCAAAAGTTGGCTGAATTCTTCAAGAAAAAGAAACCCGATGATAACCGTGCTGATAAGGAAGCAAAAAACCTATCCGATCTTGAGCAACGTTACCTGAAGCTGATGGGTAAGCCAAACAAGTTCAAATAATTCAATAAAAATTGGTTCCTTTTGATTTGGGACATTAAAAATATCCTTTGTAATTAATTCTTTTTTCTGATTAAATTATTGAAATATTTGAAGACAAACTGGTGAATTTTCACTTTTTTGAATTGGCTCAATTTTTAAATGAAAGACCATTTCTCATTGTTAATTTACATACATTCAACAGTGTCTGAGAAAAGCTAATGATTCCATTTTCACCAGTTAACATTGCTAGTAATGGACCCTGTTGATTTATCTCTTGCTATTAATGGGCCCCTTCATTCACCTATTGTTAGTAATGGACTCTGTTGATTCGTCTATTGGTATGAAAACATTAAATCTATGGCATTCACTGACACTAAATAAGATTCAGTGCTAAACTTTCAACAAGTTTTGAATAATAAACCTTCACCAGTTAGTATTAAGCACAGACAATTTCATATTCTTTCTTTCATAACTTTGCAAAGCACAAAATTTTGACATTTATGAATATTGTCTTCAAAATAAGGGATTACAATATCATCAAACTAATTCCTAAAAGAATCAATTATTTTTTAAAGCTGGAATTCATTTTTTCTCTATTATCAAAATGGACATTTTTGTATTTTATTCTTAAAACAAAAAGATGTATCATACAATTTGCTTTGCTGGTATAAAACAAAAAAGGATAAAATATAAAACTATTTAGAAAAGTGGTTGCTGCATAAGAGCCACATACTGAATGGATTGTGTTAGTGTTTTTCTCTTGTGTACATATCTCAAAGAAATTTGTATGTTTGAATGTAACAAAAGGTTGTGTAAGTAAATCCAATATAGAATTTAGAGCTCTATGGAGAGAGAAAAAAAAGAGCCTTCCATAGCTAAGAAATGATATTGTCTGTGTTTCACTTAGAGACTACTGGAATCACTTTGTAGGAGACATGATAAAATAGTGTGATAGTTTGATGATTAAAGCTTTGTTTCCTAAATGATATCACATTCAACACAATAAAAAACATACATAACAAAAAAGTAAACAGATTGTTCATGGTACATCTTCAGTAATCAAGGAGTCACCATAATAGGTTGGAATATTGAAAGTCATGTTATTTAAGATGCCTAACTGTAATAGGTAAAAAAGTATTGAAACAGTCGTGTTATCTTAGATTTGTTTTTTTTTATGTTGTTATCAATTTCCTTCAATTATCCTGGAGGAGATGGTTGAATAAATGATGTTAAAATGTTTTTCTTTTTCTGTGTACATTCAAAGATGGAATTCTTGCTTTCTTTGAGTCTCTGTCATCATATTCAGTCAAATAAAGTTTCTTGTTTTGAATTCTGCTTGTCTTTAACCAAAGCTGAAATTGAAGACTTGCAAGAGAAGCAGGAAATGGAGACCAATGCCCAAATTCAGCGAACGGAAGAACTGGAAGAGCAATGTGCAGAGAAGAAAGAACACGTGAATGCTGACCAACGAAAACTGCAAGAGATGAAGAGGCAAGTGGCTCAACATGCCATAAACAGTCGGACAGGAAAACCAATGCCGGAGAAGGTAAAGAAACCCCTACCCTCAGCACAACTACATCTACAAAGGTTAGCAGGAATTATGTAGTGCTCTAGCTAAACAACATTTATGAAAATGTACATCTGTTATGAAAATAATTATATATTTAAACTCATACTATTTCAGTATGTAAGTCGTTTTTAATGAAACTTGCATAAAATCTGAGTATATTTTTTATAATACTTATTTAGCTGATGTGGGAGAAGAGCACAATAAAACTTTTGGAAATTTACAAAATTTTCAACTAGCAACTGCAGCCTTCATCAGTGTTTGATATTGGATAGTTCTATTTTAACTGGGTTAAATTTCAAATCCATTGGACATTAATGACCTTAGTGTGATTGTCATCAATCTTTTGGTTGCAGCATCCAATAAAGATTTTTAGTGCCTCTTTTTTCAACCTTTTTCCCTCATGTGGGTCTGTCTCTCATTTTGGTCAAATGTATATATATATATATATATATATATATATATATATATATATATATATGTACATGTGTGACTAATAAATTGTGACCATTTTATATTTTTAATTTCACGCAGGCATGTCTGTTTTTGATTTTGATCACTACACAGTATAGCAGGGTCAATTGGGCACCATCTGTGAGACAAAGAACACCATGACACAATTCACTCCACCAGAAATTTGGAAATGGCATGCTGTACTTGGCATTCACACCTCAAGCATCAATATGAACATTTCAAAATGTTTGGGTGTCAATCAGAGAACAGTGCTGAGGATTTAGAAAGAGTTGGATGAGTCTAATGGTGATTACGAAATACAGCATCTCAGAAAACTCACTCTGATCATTTTGATAAGAACTCCTAAATTTGTTGATGAGGGCCTCAGACTCAACATGGAAACCTACATCAAGTACCTTGAGGAGGTATTGCTGCCTTGGGTCAAGAGGGTGGCTGCTTGAAGGCCCTATGTCTGGCAATAGGACTCTGCACCATGCCATACAAGCAGGAGAACCCAGCCATGGCTGTCAGACAATTTCTGTGACCACATAACACCTTACATTTGACCACTTAACTCCCAAGACAAAGCCCCCCACACACACACACACACACATTTAATTATATGTGGGGCGCAGTTGAGCAAGAGAACAACAAAACTCCTTGTAATACCAAAGATGAACTGAAGGCAAGGATTATGGCAACATTCACTTAAACAATGAGACCATCCAGAAGAGATACAGAAGATTATGAAGTCATCTGGAGGCTGTGGTTGAAACCAATTTTTAGTATTTCAAGATATTTTTGTGTAATTTTGGTAACTATATCTGTTAAAATGAGATGTTAGTGTTATTTTAAGTTTTGCATAATTTAAATGACAAATTATCCATCACACTCACTCTCTCTCTCTCTATATATATATATTATGGAAATCTATCACAATGTGAAAAAAGTTTTTGTATCACATATTTTACAACAGAGGATAAAATATATAAACAGCAATGAAAGCAACAAATTACAACATAAATATGATAAACTCATGGCTAGTTTAGATGTCAAATTTTTATGCCAACATCCCTGTTAACAAATGCTTCTATCTTTTAAAAAGTATCTAACACAATCAAAAATAAACTGCTACCTACTAATAGCTAAAATAATAAAAATCTGCCTTCACATCACAAATCAATGTCATTTCACCTTTAACCATAATTGTTATAAAGAAAAATTTGGATTACCAATTGGTTTGCTTCTAAGTGGAGTTTTGGCATCTATTTTCTTAGAATTTCTTGAATCTTGTTCTTTCCAAGATACTCTATTAATATATCCCCACAAAACTACTTGATCTTTTAGATAAACTAAACAAGTTCCAGTTCCCAGGTTCTTACATTTCACTTTTCTTAGTAAATCTACTATTATCGCAATGTGGGATACTTAATAACAAAAGTGGTCAAAATATAAACAAAAATAGATTAAATGAAATTGGTAATATAGCCAAAACAAATATTTAAAAAATTTGAAATTTAAAATTTTCGGCGTCCCCCTCTTCTTTTTGTGCATGTGTAGCCAAGGACAAAATGCATCACATGAAAACTTTTTCTACTTTGTCATACATATTTCCCTAAAATTGTTTTAGATATTTAAAAATTTATATATTGTTGGATGTCATATTGGTAGACAATGACATTTCTTTGATGTCATCTGTGGCTACTGACACCTGCCTTTGAAACCACAGCTACATTCATTCATCACATGAAAAAGATTACTTCATTACCTTCTCAGGGAGAGAACTAGTATGCTCCATATCATTACCAACTCATACCAATTCAGCATTTTCAACTCCACTCCACCCTATCAGATACAAGATCTTCACATGTGTTAGTATTAATGTTGAACTTTTTAAGTGTATCTTTTAAACAGTCCTTACACCACTTTTGTGGCTTGTCCTGCACCAGTTCACCGTACAGGAATTTTCCAAAATATTTTACCTAAGTAATCAGCATAATTCTGATACATTGATGATGCTTTATTAATATATTCTGATAAAACTACTTTACTTGACCCTGAAGATAAACTAAACAAAATTGATCATATGTGAGAATTAACTTATAAAACAGAAACAAACAATACTTTATCTTTCGTCGATATCATGTCTATATCACCATAATGACAACAGCCTAAAACTAAGTGTCCATCCCAAATCACTTAATAAAAATGATCTCATAAATTTCTATTCTCACCATAACAAAATAAAATCCATAATAATCATCCTAGTTCACAATATTTACATGAAAAGGAGAAATACAGTAGATAGTTCTTTACCACTTTTGTGGTTTGCACTAGGGTGTTTGCCCTCCACCAGTTCACCATACAGTGATAGAGTAGCAAGAAGAGGTTTGCACCATTGCATCTTTGGGAGAGAGGTTGTAGGGTGGAAAATATTTCATCACCTACAAGGCTGTGTAAATGCTTTTTGAACTCTGTAAAGGCTGGAAAGAGGACTGGGCAGCACCAGCCCAGATATGGCAGCAATACTGCATTCTGGGTCTGACATGACACTTATAAAATAGAGCATGTTAGGAGAAGTCTGGTACTTTCTGGAGTGGTATAAGGAGCTGAACATTTTTCCAGCATTTTTAGCAAAGGATGATACATATGAGTTCCAAGTTCTGGCGTAAACCTGAGTCAGTCCCAAGTGATTGATTATTGCATTAATTGATATTCAATAATATTTATCAGAATAAAATCAAAGCACTTGATCTGTATAGATAAGTGAACATTTGGATCTTACTACATTGGTCATTCAAGAAGAGGAAAAATAGGGGTCATTGTGAAGGTTGTTTTTGTTTATCACACACACAGAGAGAGAGAGGCTCCCCTAAATTATGATCAGTTTGTTTCTTCCAAATATTTAATTGATTTTGTAGCTGTGTATTGTTATTTCAATTTTGTTAATGAACTCTTGCTCTACTTGGGTCAATTTCATATTTGTAACTATTCTCACCAGTAACTATAATTGTTTCATATTCTATGTTGGAGAGGGTGGGGTTAGAAACCTTAATATAAAATTTGAAAAAAACCTTTACATGAAAAAGAAAACAATCCAAAAAATATCAATTGTGCGTGTGCATGTGTTTATCTTTTTCAGGACATTGATCAATATTTGGCAAATGAAGCAAAAAAAGATGCAGAATTGGAGAATGTTCGCCTGGAAAACATAAAACTCAAAAACAAATTGAAGAAAAAGGAACTGCAACTGAAATCTAAGGTTCATGAATTGATGACACTTTTTTGTTTTTCCCAATATAATCATCGATGTCTTCATTTCTCTCTTTATATATATATATATATATATATATATATATATCGCAATATATGTAAATAAAATGGTGCATGTGTTGTGCTCTGTCCTTCAGCATATGGACAATCATGGCTCTCTACAGATTTGTGTCTTTTGATGCTCTCAGCAGCACTTTTTTACGATTCCTCTTTGTCTTTGTGGTGTTGCTTTTGCCCTACTTTCTTCTACTTCTCTTACCTTCAAATGGTGAGTGTTTAATTCTCTAAGTCTACTTTCCTCTATGTGTATCCAAAAATTTTCATCTATCTCTGATTGTGAGGAGTAGTTTCTTTGTAGATTCTATTTTTTCCTTGCTTCTCATATCATCTGTCCATGGCATTCTCTGTGTTTGTCAGTTGAACCAAATTTGTATTGCTTCAAGTATTTTCTTTATGATCAAATTCAATATCCTTTGGTGCCATAATGCCGCCCAAAAGCTTTTGCATTGCTTTAATATTATTTTTTTATCAGTAAATACTTTGCTCAGTTTCTGAAGTATATAATTATTTAAAAAAAAAAAAATTATAACATAAATATGTTATAAAATCACTACAAAAATAGCCATTTTGTTTCAACACCCCTGGTATCTTATCAAGTGATGATGTTGAATGTAAAATAAAAGTTTCAAATTAATTAACGATCCTTCATAAGGGGAAAATGCTGTTATGAAAGCTAGAATGACCAATCAAAATACAAGTATAGGAAAATTCAAAAAGCTTGACAATGAAGTCATGTTATAATAGCTATTCAAATCTTTAAAATACGGGTAATATTAAAAAAGAATTTATTCTAACCAACAATTATTAAATTATATGATAAAATTTGATATTAAAATTAAAAACCGCCAATTTTAAAATCCAAATTTAAACACTATTATGTTTAAAAATT